AAAGGGGATGTGAAAGGGAGACCATTTTTTAAAAGGAAGGTGGGGATGAAAAAAAGGAAACCTTTCTTTCAAAAAGGTAAAAAAAAGAGGGAGAGGGGGGTTAACCCCCAAAAAAAGCCCCCCCAATAAAAAAAATTTTTTCCCCCCCCCCCCCCCCCATCTCCCGGGAGCAGAGCCTAATTTTAACAACATGACTAAAATATATTAGGTAATAAGGTCACTTTAATGTCAGCTATGACCGCTAAGGCATTCAACTTCTCAAAGGCAAATATAGTTCTCCAGTAAAACAGCTGGCTGTAAATATAATTAAGTAATGAAATAAAACCTGCTTTCAGTTATAGCAAACCAAAATCTAAAAAGTATAATTTCTATTTTCAAATTTTATTTCACCTCTAAGCAGTATCCAGACAAACAAGAGGACACCAAACAAAAATTAATATATGACCATATTTATATTTATTATTTGCCACATTGCTTTAATTCCCTGCTTCTGGTAACCTAGGATCCTTGATAGTACCACAGTCCTGAATCCTATCAGATTACAGTGTTTGTAGGAAATGCTTAATAATCGATGAAACTTACCTGAATTGTACTATGGTGCTATCACAGAGCCTGGGTAACCTGTGCTGTTACACACTCCTACTGCTAGTACTGCTTAGTACTAAATCCTATCAAATTACAGTGTTTGCAGGAAATACTCAACAATCACTGAAACTTACTGGAATTGTTCTGTGGTGCTATCACAGAGCCTGGGTACCCTGCACTGTTACACACTTGTACTGCTAGTACTGAACCCTAACAAATTACAGTGTTTGTAGAAAATACTCAACAATCACTGAAACTTACTGGAATTGTTCTGTGGTGCCATCACAGAGCCTGGGTAACCTGTGCTGTTACACACTCGTACTGCTAGTACTGCTTAGTACTGAACCCTATCAAATTACAGTGTTTGCAGGAAATACTTAATAATCAATGAAACTTACTGGAATTGTTCCGTGGTGCTATCACAGAGCCTGGGTACCCTGCACTATTACACTACAGTGTTTGTAGGAACTCAACAATCACTGAAACTTACTAGAATTGTTCTGTGGTACTATCACAGAGCCTGGGTAACCTGTGCTGTTACACACTCGAACTGCTTTGTTCTACTTTCATGAAATTATTTATAGAAATGATTCTTCTCATATACACTTTCACCATCTCTGTCAGCCAATCTCTAAAAGTGAGTTGGCAAACCAATGCCGAAGATATAACTATTTGCAGCAAATATTAACAAATTCAAATAACAAGCTCTAAAATTACAAAGAAAATGTGCTGTTTAAAAAAATAATAAAAACTCAGCTCCTAGCAGGTGGTTTTTCCTGCCCATTTATGACCTCCAGGTGTGAAAGAGCAAGCTGATTACTAGACACCCACAATAATAACGAAGAAAACTAATTTGTTAATAATTTACTACATTTATAACTGTGAACATTTATATTAAAAGAAACTATTCAGGAAGCTGTCAGATGAGTTACAACTGTTTCAGAAATGATTTAATAATCATCCTCTGTAAGGCTAAAAATTCTGCAACAGAGTGTGGCATCTCAAATTATATATGTAATATCTACAACGTGATATTAAACACCTCGAAGATGAAATTAAATGGCTCCAATAATATTTACAAACGTGTCAAAAATTCCTGCTTATCAGAAACACACATCTATATGTAATTACTACTGAGTGCATGGTATTGTTGTTTTGAGTGAGACATGTTTTTAGCATGAAACAATGGGGGCTGCATAACCACCTACATTATGCTACCATAAATTGAAAACAAATGAAATTAAGTCTAATCACTTTTTAAGCTAACTTTACGTCAGGTTTGCAAAATTTAAGCATAAATGTCTTGTCGAAAATCGGTAACATATACACACACAAAACCTAACCACCAAAATCTGATACTAAACTATACAAGATATTGTATGAACAAACTTCTTATTAACCATCAAGTGTATAAACTATATCTGTGAGTGTGCTCTAAATTTTTGATAAGCCTCTTTCAAAGAAAACTTCTTAAAGAACCACAAAGTTACCATTATTACATTACTCCAAGTTATAAATTATCATATTATAAGATTCTGTTAGGAGCACAGTAAAATTGAGCCCAAGTTTTTCTTTAATTTATATCTTCTCTCAAATGAGAAAACCGTTAACTTAAAGTTGTAAACGACACTCAACTTTAAATATATAGTTAGCAATATGATACAACTGAGGGTTCCCCAACAGATTTTTTTGGGACGAGGGATTGAAGGCCAGGATTCAAGATTTTAAAGCAAAATGAGAGCAAGAAACTGGATTGAAAGTATGCTCAGGATGCTGGACGCTGAAAATAACCCATCAGGGCGATAACAGGATTGAGGGATTTTGCAAAATTGAAGAACCCTATTGGGGACTCTCACACCCAGGGTGAACTCCAGATTTCAAGTGACAGGGATGATCCAAGGATCTTTTGGGTTTGAAATTTTCAATTCCCAAATTTTTAAGGCTCGGAAATACGGCATGGGATTTTTTGAGGGCTAATTTTTGGTCCAGGGGTTTTTTTGAGTTTTGATTTTTGCCCCCATTCGATCATCCCCGTCGCTAAAATCTGGGCTACCCCCTGGGCTCTCACAACAAGCAAAATATAAATAAGTTAATCTTCTGATGGTTTGGATTCTTCAGCACCCTCAGGCACAGATGGTTCGCCATCTTTATCCCCCTCTGTTTCCTCCTTTTTCTCCTCATCAGGTTTCTCCTCTGATGTTTCTCCACCTTCACCCTGGGGTTCTTGAGGTAAAGACTCGGAACTTTTTGTGGTTTTCACCCCTTCCCTTACCTTGTGGCCCCTAAAACTAGCTTGGATCTTAACTGCAGCACTGTGCAGCTCTGGATCATTCAAATCAAGATCTACTTGTTCTGCCTCACCTTCTACCTCCCCCCCTTGAGCCTCACCAGGCTGCTGGACATCAGCAGCCCCATCTCCTGTTTTGCCTGCATCTTCTGCCTTCTCCTCTGCAGTTTCTGCGCTATCTTCCACCTTCTCTTCTCCCGGTTCTGCTGCCTCTTGCACTTGAACATCCCCAGCTCCACCCTCATTAGTCACGTCTTCTGTCTCTCCCTCCACTTCCTGTCTGTCTGGAACTTCAGAATCTCCTTCCACAGCAGGCTCCATCACTTCAGGCTCCACAGGGACAGCCTCTGTACCCGCTCCTTCAGCCTCATCAAGTTTTTCATGGACCGAAGCCTCCTGCTCTTCTGGTCCTCTCGAAATGTCTTCTTCTAGTTTTGTGGCTTCTTCAGGCAGAGTAGTGGAATCATCCCCCACAACATCAGCCTCAACACCAGTTGCACTCTCTGACATCATCTCCTGGCTCTGCGTAAGTTTTATGTCTTTAACTCTCTCTCTTGCTTGGTGACCACGGAAGCTGGCCTGAATTTTAATGGCTGCAGCCTCTTCATCTTTTTTCTTCTTCACATCCTCGCGAGCTTTGTGACCCCGGAAACTTGCTTGAATCTTAGTTGCTGCTGCCTGTACCTCAGGATCTTTCAAATCTATATCCACCTCCTCTCCTTTCATCAATCTTTCCATTTGATCGCCTTTTTTTGCATCATCTTTTCCAGTCTCTACAATGCAGCAAAGTACTAATATTACTTATTGGCACAGTGTATGGTTTTTATTGATTCTAAAATTCCTATTGTTTATATGACCGATGTCTAGGTTCGGGACAGTAAATATGCAATTATTTTATACAGTGAAAATTACACGATGTACATGCTGCAAGTTGAATGCGTAAGTACAAATAAAGTATAAAGCTTAATTGATTTTGTTGGTGAGAGAAAATTCCCCTCAAAGCATAAAGTAAGCTTAAGTTTTGTGGACATCGTTATATTCTTAGGTGAAAAATGTTAATTAAATTTTCCTCGTACTGTCTATGCAAACACTTCCCCTTCGTTTCCGTCCTGTTTACTGTTGACAATTTAATAAGGTAAACGCAAAAAAATGGTTTCATAAATATGAGCTTACATCTCAACACTTTTTAAATACTATTCGTTGTTTAAATAAAGTAATTTTTATGACGATAATTTCCTACGACTAAAAGAGGAAAAGAAGATCGATCGAAAAAAGTAGCAATTTTATTTTGTGATCAAGCATACGACACTAACAAATTGTAATCAGTAGGATTAATTAGAACTNTTTTTTTTTAAAAAATCCGCCACCCCACAAATATACCCCCTTTCCCCCCCCCACCCCTCTCCATACTTAAAAAAAAAAAAAACCAAAACCAAACAAGTAAAAACCCCGACAAAAACAAAAATGAAAAAGTTACCCCCCCCCCCCTCCGCCCACTCCTCTCTGTCTACAGCAACCCCTTACAAGTATTGAGGTTAACTAGAAGATACATTTTAACAAAACTGGTAGAAATTTTGTATTTTAGATTTAATCCAGGTTCTGCCATCCTTTGAGACCCAGGGGCAGTTAGTCAGGACGATAGAATGCTCGTGGTGAAAGTTTACTGGTTGTCTCGTTACAGTAAACTTTCACCACGAACATTCTATCATCCCAACTAACTGCCCCTGGGTCTCCGAGGATGGGTCCTGCAAGAGATTCTGCACTTTTCGTTGGTATTTGACTTCCCTGGAACCCCCTGGGGATAGAGGATAGACAAAGAAAATGGTAGGGGCTGAGGTGCACACCATGCTCCCCCCTTATGTTCAATCTCCTTGGAATAAAGGAATAATAGTGACCTCCCAAAAGAAGTTTTTATATGTCCCAAAATTGATTGCTCAGGGTTACTAAGCAGGCTCCTTAGCCTCACTTGACTGTTTTAAGTAACCCGCTGATTTACAAATATAAGTCTCCAGTGCACCCAGGGTTGACCGAAATAGCTGGTAACTGGCAAAAACCACCACTTACTATTTGTCTTTTTTTGGCAACTTTTCTAATGTGCTATTCCTCTGTTTCTTAGAGCAATCTTCCTTTTTATTAGTCCGTCGAGTAAAATGCACAAGACACAGAAATGACCACACGCAGTTTGGCGCTCGTGCACTGTATGCACTTTCCTCACTAACTCTGAAGAAAAAGAGAGGTTGCTCACAGTCTACCCCATTTTTGATTGCAAAATATTGTGATGACACAAAATACGGTTCAAAATCTGGAGTCTCCCGGATTATCAGGGAGAGTTGACAGCACAACCTCGTTCCCAGGGTTCTCTCCTACCCGCCCTACGGAGCGAGAGACAGAGAGAGGGTCTCTCTCTCTCTCTCGCTCGGTAGGGAGGGTAGGAGAGAACCCTGGGAATGAGGTTGTTGACGGCACTGCCTGTCCTCCCCTACAAAAGATGGCAAAAATCAGCCAACTACCAGTACTTTCACTTCTTTAAAACATTCCAGAAGGCCCTGTGCACCTTCGACTGCAAAACAGTCCATTTTTTTGCGTATTCAAGTACGCGCGAGCAGTCAAACAAAAGGTCTGGAACGAGGCTGAAAACAGTGACCGAGACTGGGGAGAGACGCTAAGGTTTTTTTTCCTCTCGCCTCATACGCCCATAGGGCGTGTGATGCTTGTGTGCTTCGCGCGTGCAAGACTCTACCGATTTCTTTACTGATTTTGAGAAAAAAACCGACTGTTTTGCAGTCTATGTGCACCTAGCCCATGAATGCAGACATAATTTGTGTTGTCAGTACCGTCTGCTACAAAGCAACAACCAGAAATATGTCTGCATTTGCAGGCTANAAAGACGTCTCTATGACGACAGCAATTAGCCGCTGATCAAATTAATTGCGGGAGTAATTATTAATGACCGAGGAGGATCTAGAACTGAATTTACGGTACTGAAAAAATTGGACATTTCAACGTCATTCTGATTTCATAATATATGACAGTCTGGACAGTGGAAGTTTTAAGGTAGGTAGCCATCTCCCTTCCCTATACTCATCCCAAATCTATATATAAAAAAAAAACCAATACAGATAAGGTATAAATCCTGACAAAATCAAATATGAAAAAGTTACCCCCCCCCCCCTCCGCCCACTCCTCTCTGTCTACAGCAACCCCTTACAAGTATTGAGGTTAACTAGAAGATACATTTTAACAAAACTGGTAGAAATTTTGTATTTTAGATTTAATCCAGGTTCTGCCATCCTTTGAGACCCAGGGGCAGTTAGTCAGGACGATAGAATGCTCGTGGTGAAAGTTTACTGGTTGTCTCGTTACAGTAAACTTTCACCACGAACATTCTATCATCCCAACTAACTGCCCCTGGGTCTCCGAGGATGGGTCCTGCAAGAGATTCTGCACTTTTCGTTGGTATTTGACTTCCCTGGAACCCCCTGGGGATAGAGGATAGACAAAGAAAATGGTAGGGGCTGAGGTGCACACCATGCTCCCCCCTTATGTTCAATCTCCTTGGAATAAAGGAATAATAGTGACCTCCCAAAAGAAGTTTTTATATGTCCCAAAATTGATTGCTCAGGGTTACTAAGCAGGCTCCTTAGCCTCACTTGACTGTTTTAAGTAACCCGCTGATTTACAAATATAAGTCTCCAGTGCACCCAGGGTTGACCGAAATAGCTGGTAACTGGCAAAAACCACCACTTACTATTTGTCTTTTTTTGGCAACTTTTCTAATGTGCTATTCCTCTGTTTCTTAGAGCAATCTTCCTTTTTATTAGTCCGTCGAGTAAAATGCACAAGACACAGAAATGACCACACGCAGTTTGGCGCTCGTGCACTGTATGCACTTTCCTCACTAACTCTGAAGAAAAAGAGAGGTTGCTCACAGTCTACCCCATTTTTGATTGCAAAATATTGTGATGACACAAAATACGGTTCAAAATCTGGAGTCTCCCGGATTATCAGGGAGAGTTGACAGCACAACCTCGTTCCCAGGGTTCTCTCCTACCCGCCCTACGGAGCGAGAGACAGAGAGAGGGTCTCTCTCTCTCTCTCGCTCGGTAGGGAGGGTAGGAGAGAACCCTGGGAATGAGGTTGTTGACGGCACTGCCTGTCCTCCCCTACAAAAGATGGCAAAAATCAGCCAACTACCAGTACTTTCACTTCTTTAAAACATTCCAGAAGGCCCTGTGCACCTTCGACTGCAAAACAGTCCATTTTTTTGCGTATTCAAGTACGCGCGAGCAGTCAAACAAAAGGTCTGGAACGAGGCTGAAAACAGTGACCGAGACTGGGGAGAGACGCTAAGGTTTTTTTTCCTCTCGCCTCATACGCCCATAGGGCGTGTGATGCTTGTGTGCTTCGCGCGTGCAAGACTCTACCGATTTCTTTACTGATTTTGAGAAAAAAACCGACTGTTTTGCAGTCTATGTGCACCTAGCCCATGAATGCAGACATAATTTGTGTTGTCAGTACCGTCTGCTACAAAGCAACAACCAGAAATATGTCTGCATTTGCAGGCTATGTCTACTTGGTAACATTCATTATTACCAATAGACTCATTTGAAAAATGTAACAATCTGATTGGCAAATTTATGGCAGGCAGAAAACAACAAGCTGGATATGCTGTGCTTATTTATTGGAATTAAAATTTCATTTCAAAAACTTTAAGCAAATTAATTAGGTTACAAACTCAATGCCACTTTCCTTTATGCAAAATTGTCTGACAGTGTTGCCAGATGGATATGTTCTGCAAACTGAGAACATCAAATCAAGTCCATTATGTGTCTTTTTCCTGTCAAACTTATAGCGATAATTAACCAGTCTTTGCCAACTCTGGCATAAGTAGTCTCTATGAATTGACTTTTCAGATGATGTAAAAATTGTTTGTTTTGTGACAATCAGTACTACATGATACTGCTGTGTGTACTTCGCTAAAGCATCAACAATCTTTCGTTGGTTAGATTCTTGAGAAGCCAGACTCTCTCCACCATTATATCTATCAACCCAGTAAAACGCACTTAAACTGTCAATCATAAAGACCCCAACCTCTGGTTTTGCGGATAAAAGATTTTCCAGGGATAAGATTGTAGCTAACATCTGAAGGCTACTATTGCAATGCACAATAAATAAGTGTCCGAGACAAGTTTTGATAAAGTTTTCATAATCGTTGTACTTTTCAGGATAGCCAGAAGTACATTGCTGATTACCACTGTGGGTTGAGTTGTTCCAGTTGATATTTGCTGTTGCCATGGAAACTCCTTGTGTTTCCCTTATGGCATTTAATATCCTATGCTCAAGAATTGTGACTAGTCGCAGTAACTGAAAATGATAATCAGAGTCCACAAACACAACTCCAATAGAACGCCCATTCAGTGCCAGATCCTTCCATGTCTTGGGAAGAATACAATTTGCAATTAAATGCAGAAGCATCTCTGTCTTTCCACTTCCCTCCTGGCCACTAAATTCCACAACACTTCCTGGCTGGATGCCCTCTGGAATATCACCAAAGAGATTTTTATCCAAGCCATCTAATGTCTGCTTCCCTCCTAATCGTACAAAGAGCTGGAAACCAATAGTACAGTAAATATGATCGTCAAGATTCTATTTAAAACCTGATACCAGTCCCGGGGGTGGTACTTTAGGAATTTCTGGGTGGGGATGTGCCGCTGGGACCCTGGAACCCTTAACCTATAACAGAGCTAGTTCAGCTGAATTTTGCTACCCTATACTAGAGTAAACTCCCCAAATCCCCCTATCTTAGAGTAGCTGTTTCCCTTGTCTAGATAAAATCTTCAACCAACTGATCATTTTCCTGAAAAATGATACCCTTTTCTAGACCCAAACACTCTGATTTATATACCCTATCCTAGAGTAAACTGCTTGAAAACCATACCCTTCACAGCGGCACATACCTATATAGCCCATATATGGCAGTGCCCCCCTGGGATACCAGTCTCCTTGAATGTTTTCCATCACACTAGTGACAAGGTGGCAATCGGCTCAAATTGAAGAAAACAACAGAATATGACGGAGTGTAAGGCTGTATGAGAAAAATGCCACCCAATGTTTTATACATAACGAGGCGACTGTGATAGAGCATCGACGAGAATGACAAAACTTTGAAAAGAACAATACTGACCTGTGCTGCAGACTCAACCGCCATCTTGGCGGGGACCACAGTAGAGGACTGAGGACTAGAGCATTACCGGAAATTTTCGTTTGTAAGAACCGGAAGTGATCTTCGAAGAAAATATGCACGACCCAAAGTCCTTCTGGGAAAATAAGGACCTTCAATATGGCGACCAAACCGGCAGTTTGGACAATTTGTGTAAGCTTATGTCTTGTCCTTTTTCACGCTGGTGAGTGGGTTATTAATTTACAACAATGTATAGATCGCATAGTTTTAGTTCATGTCACCAAAACGGAAATTTTAAATGTAATCAAGTCTTCTTCAACCAGGCCAAAATTGTGCATGGTTTTGGCAAATTTTGACAACTGACTTGTTTAGCTTTCGACTTGTCTATCTTAAAGCCACTTTTGGTTTTATTATTTACCATTGTTTTTAACCTCTTTCAAGCGACCACTTGATGCATGATGTGTTCTCTGTTTGCTTTATGTAGTGCGCCGCAAAATGTACAAGAACAACTTTCGGAGACAACATGGAACTATTCTGATACGTATTGAACTTAGAAATTGCATGCAATAAATTATCTTCCAAAAATTAGATGTGTTGAAACTTCTTCCCGGAAGAGACCCTCTTGTTTGTCGAGTCTCATAAGTGATCAACAAATTTTTAAATTTTCCAGGGCTGTCAACTCTCCCGGATAATCTGGGAGACTCCAGATTTTGAACCGTCTCTCCCGGTCTTCAGATTAGAGTCTGAAATCTCCCGGATAATCACCAAAGTTCGCCATTTCTTGTAGATTCGACTTTCTAACAATGAAATTTCAAATATTTTGCATTGTTTGAGCTATTTCACAGTTAACATTGAACGTTTTCTCACAAACTCCGGTATGCCATTGTAATGTAAGCAATAACGTGATTGGTGGGAAGTAAACCAGTTAGGTCAAATGTTACAATTCCAAAAACATCTTTTTTGCATGTTTTTTTTTCACAAATGTTGTAATCTGCCATGCATTATGACATCATCTATCATCCCCCTTCCCCATCAGTTCTCAATATTTGAAGATGTGTAGTGGGCGAAGGGGAGGTTGACAGCCCTGATTTTGGGTGGTTGCTTACAGGAGGTTCAACTGTTATATTGCACATTTATTGTTACTTCACTATTACCTCACGTATGATTAATAAAACATATTTATATTTTTATTGTCATCTGATGATAATGATGGTTTGATTAATTATTTTAAACAGCTGCAGGAGATAAGGTTGCTCAGAAAATTTATCAAGACCTTTATGGAATAAAACCTTGTGTCATCCTAACAAATGCTACACATCAAATTGGCTGTACCTGTAAGTAACCTGGATTACACTGCCTTCTTAGTACAGAGTGTAGTAATGAACTCTAATCTCATGGGTGACAAATTTCTTTGTAACTTTGGCGTGAAATTTCAACATTAATTTATAATATTTTACATATGAAATTACAAAATTTCTATGGCAACATTCTGTATGTTTCAGTGCCAAAATGGTGTCTAGGTTTTAAAATGTTATGAACGAAAATATCAGTGCATTAAATTAACCTAAACACATGAAAGAGCACATCAAGAAGGATTCTAACAGGTATTTTGTTGAAAATTTCAGAACATTGTGAAATTGAACCAAACTTTATGCACTAAACTTTTCAGTGTCTGGAGTTCTCGATACAATAAACCAGTAAAAAAACAATGATTATGAGCATAATTTGTCACCCGTGATATTGGACAAAATGCATGTGAAGTTGTTCCCCAATTTCACTCTTCACCATTTTGATTACACTTACAACTGCAATGAATCATCTTTAAATTCTCTTAATTTATTCAAAGTAAATACTTCTTAATATGAGCATTGAACCTTTTCTTTAAAGTTTTAGGAGACACTGAGAAGATTTAAGCTGCTAACTTATTAAGCTTAAGAAAGTCTTCAGGCATAGTTATCACTTATCATTTTTCTGTTTTTTACTTATTTGTTTACTCCTTGACTTAAGCTAATGTAGCGTTTTTTATTTGTTTGTTTGTGCCATGAATATTCAGTCGTTAAAATTAATCTGAATAATATCTTTTAATGGCAATACTTTCATATGAGATGAGGTACGTCTCTTTGTAACCCCTTGGGTTTCCATTTACACACCTACAGATGTTTCAAATCTCTATTATTTATATACTTTTTGCTGTGCAGAAGTAAAGAAAATTGAAACTTAAAGAAATTGGCTTGCGGTACCATGCAATTGTTACAATCAAATGACCCATAATATTGTGATCACTTGTTCCATCTACCTTCTCTCTGTACTGTATCATGGATGTCAATTCTTTCAGAAATTCTTCTTCTTTGGCTTAATAGTAACCAAATTTGTAAAGTTGTTAAAATTTCCTTTGTTTAGGGGGTATGGAAATGTGTGATAATTAGGTTTATGTATAAAGGTATAAAAGGATAAAATTTAATAATAGCAGCTTGTCCTTAGCCTCTGCCAGAGACAAAACTAAACTCTAGTTCAGTCTGTGTGCGAAACAGCACCAAAATTGTCGTTCTGGGCCCCCAACTGTGTACCAGAATTTGAGTACACTGTGTATACTGTATGATTGGCCTGTTAAAAAAGCCATTGTGGATTTGTCAAACAGGTTGGAAGGAAATTCAAAATGCTTTCTGGTAATTCATTGAGTCAGGATTTGAGTTTGTGCCATGATTAGCCAGTTAAAAAAGCCTTTGGGGATTTGTCAAACAGGTTGGAAGGAAATTCAAAACACTTCTTTGGTAATTCATTGAGTCAGGATTTGAGTTTGTGCCATGATTAGCCTGTTAAAAAAGCCGTTGTGGATTTGTCAAACAGGTTGAAAGGAAATTCAAAACGCTTTTCTGGTAATTTATTGAGTCAGGATTTGAGTTTGCGCCATTATTGCCCTGTTAAAAAAGCCATTGTGGATTTGTCAAACACGTTGAATACAGGATATTACATGGCTGCGCGGGGATACGAATTTTATCTTCGAGTGCTGAAAGTATCTCTCACGAGTGAGCGAAGCGAACGAATGAGAGATACTTTCAGCACGAGAAGATAAAATTTGTATCACCAAGCCGCCATGTAATGTTCTGTTTATTTTATAGATACTGATGAAATTCCTACATAAAACACAACTTTTTTTAAATTCATTTTCGAAACAGCAAAATAGTGCAATTAAAGTGGTCACCTATTGCAAAATGCCTGTCACAAAAATGTTATGAAACTGGGATATAAAGTTATAAAGGAGAAATTAAGACAATAATACTTACATTTTGTGTTCCAAAAGTCAAAATTCTAATGAAAAAGAGAAAAGTTATGTTAGTAACCGTGGCGACACCAATATCCTCACACGTGAAAGATAAAAACAGTATCTTCACTGCGCGCGATGAAGATATGATTTTTTAGTAAAAGGAAAAATCCTGGTATTTCATTACTATCAATATAATAAAAGGAAATTCAAAACGCTTTTCTGGTAATTTATTGAGTCAGGATTTGAGTTTGCGCCATGATTGCTTTGTTTTGATTGTTCACAAGGCTAACAATTATTATAATATATTACATGACGTATATTATTATGTTTTTCATTCGTTACTTAAATTACAGCTAGTATGTATGGCCATGTTGGAGTGCTTCACTATATTGAAAATGAAACGGACGTTGATTGGATCATAGAAAATGGAATTCATGCACCTTACATTCCATTGTTCAGATCGGACCTTTTTGACTTGTAAGTATCATTAACAACTGTGTCGCTTAGTAGAGCTGGATGCCTGGTATATCCAGGGACTTCCACTTGGGCACATCCAGCCCCTTGGTGTTGTGTGTCCCGATGAGTTGTGATTCTGCACATCTCAGCCATGATTCTCCCTGGGGGTTTTTGTTGTTTTGTTATATGTTGTTCACGTGGGCTCGTGCGGTGTCGTTTGCGGGCTGGTTCCGCCGCGCCCGGGCTCGTTTCTCGGCCGCGCGGTGGTGTGTTGGTGTGCTCTGGGTGGTTGGTGTCGCGCGGCGGGGGGGGTGGTGGGGGGGGGGGGGGGGGTGGGGGGGGGGGGTACTCCCTTACAAGAGGCTAATAGGGATGTGCCGCTGGATGGGGTCGCATTTTCATGACTGGATTGACTATAATGGAGTCGCATTTTCAATAGATTTACTAGAATGGGGTCGCAAATTTTCGGATTTTGGGGGTAAGTAGGGATTCAAAATGGAGAGATTCTCCGTTAAAAAAATCAGAAAGTTGTTGTTTATGAAATTTAACAATAAGTTCGCATTGACCGCATTACATTCCACCACCTGAAACCACATTGGTAAGGTAGATGCATAAATAGAAAGTGACTAAGTTGGGATCGCGAAAATTACATTTTCCAAAAAGCGACTAAGATGGGGTCTATAATTGGCCAAAACATAGACTATAATG